TCCGTCTTTCCATTTTTGCATCATTCTCTCTTGGGAATCCATCTCAAACCATGATTTCTCATCCACTGCTCGTTTTCCATCATGACCACCTCCTCTGCTCTCTTTTTCTTTGAGGCATCTCAAATAAGAAATTAAATTAAAGCTGCAAGCAGCATTGAACAGGCCCTGGCACTGTTGTGCATGTTTGGTGGGCTGGCAAGAGGTCATTTGACGCAGTTGTGTATTTGTGCAAGTATCGGGCACCACGCTGATGAGTAAGAAGTTATGTCATTCGTGGAGTGTGTGGTGGCGGACATTATGTATTGCATGTTTTGTATCACTTCCTGTGTCCACTATGTGACACTAAAGAACATGCACCAAATATGCATTATGTTCACCCCTTGCCCCTCCAATGCTAAAAGTAGTTAGGGGGTGCTATAGAGCCGATATGCCACACCCATGCCCAATTGCGATATCAAACGAACTACTTAGTAGATGTAACATGGCTGCAATATTTCGTGGGTTTTTGCACATCCTCATCCTAAAGATCACAAAAATGTCTTTGAATAATGAAAATTGAAACATGAAATTCAAAATGGCTGACTTACTGTCCAGCGAAAAACCATCCAAGCAACTTTATCCTAACTTTATATACAGTCTATGATCCTAACACGGCCCTGTGTGTTTGGGGACGCAATGGAGCCTTAAGCTCCTGAAATATGCATTTTTCCAAAAGAATAATAATAATCTCTACAAAAACAATAGGTTCCTTGCACCTTCAGTGCCAGGGATCTGGCACCCCTTGGTGCTCGGGCCCTAATTCCAAAACCCTAATGCAAGCAGCTCATCCCTAATGCTGTTTTATTGTGCTGCTGGTGGTGCTGTGGTCTGTTTATTTCAAGACTGCTGCTCAAGTGTGGTTCCTGTATACAGTACATACTTATATACAGTGCATATACAGATCTATAGTCATTCAGATGCACCATGAGATGACAAGAAACAAACACTCAAAGCTGTGTTTCTACAGGGTTGATTTGATAAGAATATCATTTTCTGACTGACTAAAGAATAAATCATTTTCGTAGCCATCTGAAAAGTGTGACTAAATATTTTCATTTTAGATTTAAGAGTGAATCAAATGGAACTGATTACAAGTGATGAAAAGCCAGGATTGGTATCTGGATGATTATCATAGATCTTTTCATGCACTGTGAAAAATATATATTTGCTGCTTTTCCACCAAGTATTCCTTCATCCTGTGATTAAGATATTTGACAGTATATATCACATATTGTGTACATTCACAGTCAGATTGACCGCTGACCCTCAGGATCAGGTTACATACAAGTGCATGTCACATACTCTTTACTGCAGGTCTCAAAAGAAATTATAGAGAAAGAAATACTTCAGTAATGCCTTTATAAATGCAACTGAGTTCACTTCTTGAAGCTGGGTGCAAAAAGCAGCATATCCCCAGAGTGCTTTTTAAAACTACTGACAGCCTCTTTAATGCAGTGCCCAATGGCTCCAACAATATCACTTTCTCTCCTAAATGTGATGAGTTTGCTGAATATTTCAAAGACGAGATAACAACATTTAGATCATATTTAATCAGAAAGCCTTAATAGCTCTTGCTCATCCACTCTGTGTCTGAATATAGAGCTGACATGGCCTCTTCTTAGAGTGGCATAACTGAACTCATACCTTCATGCTCTTTGATCCTTTTAAAAACAGTTTTGTATTGTATAGCATGTTTCACATTGCCACATCCAGACATCAAACTTAAATAATCCTAATTAAATAGTGATTCGTCCACCCCAGTGAGGGTTAATATGGGCTCAAATAGGAGTTAAAGCATTAATACACTGTTGCCCATAAAGTTGGAATAATTTTGTTTTCAGACACAATCCTCTGTTTATTCCTATTTAAATGCATCAGTAATCACTTTGGAAGAGATTGACTACTAAAGCTTTAAGAAGATATACACTGTATCTGTCAAGAATAAATCACATTGTCACAATCATTTCATGGAAAGAGGTAAAAAATATTTTATTTCAACTTTATGAGCAACAGTGTATTTTAACCTAAATCAGTGCCTCTCTAAAATATTTTCAATTAAAAACTGAACATCATGGAGGTAGGATTTATTACAGGAGCTGTATTAGTCTGCATCAGTTTAAGCTAGATGTACCTAAAAATGGCAATTGAGTGTATTTATAGTGCTATGCAGATGACACACAGCTATACAGTATGTGTCACCTAATGATGTAATCCTCATCACTAATTACTTATGATGATGATGTCTTACATCTGAACAAGAGCACAGCAGAATGTTGAAAAGTTGCCAGTGATAAAGAAAATGCATACCTTTACTACCAGCAGGCTAAACTAAACTAAACAGCAATAAAATTATTGGTCAAATAAAAATTCTGCAGCAAGTCTGCTCAGAAATACCTGTAAGGTCCATCCACTGGATCCTCAAATTTCAAAATACCAGGGTTTACTGAATATCAGACATGTTTTTAAGGTGTTAGGGGAAAAGATGGGCAAAGACCTGTAAAGCTGTACCACCAGTGAGGTGTGTGACCAATGGGCCGGCAGCTTGTAGTTTTTATCATCATCACCTGTGGAACAATCTGCTAGATGGCCTGAGGCATCTCAGTCTGTGGACAATGTTTCAGCCCAGAATGTTCCTTTTCTTCATTTTAACTGTAGCTGGCTTGATTTTCCAAATTCAAAACTGTGTACCACAAAGAAAATATTATACCATTTTATTCTCCACCTCTGGCCAGAGTTGCCATGTCTCAGACACACACATATAATCTGCGCAGCAGTCAGTCAAGTCTCTGCATGCCTCTAGTGCTGCTGAGGTACTCTTCTCATAACAATATGGTAGATTTCCTTGCCAGTTCTAAATCCAGATAGAGCTAAAGAAGGACCTTTTATATATATGTAGCTTTCATCTCACAGGCAGACAGCAAAATAATCCTTAGACGGAAAAATAAACTAGTCTTTGTGATTCGATCTGCGTGCTTTGAGCCCCCTGTTTGTTTAGGAGCTCAGGTGATTCTAGAGTTTAAAAGAGGTCTCACTTACGGATTTAGATGTGTCTTTGTCATCCCCAACTAAACAGCTTTAGTGTATCTGTTCGGTTAAGAGTCTGTGGCTCCGGTTTTGCAGTTTTTACACAAAACATATTGTCTATGCATTCATGCCATTGGGACATACTGTATAGTACAGTAAGACATTTTAAAACTGAAATGTAAAAAAAAAAAAGCACAAGTGTCACCAGGTTACATCAGTTTTACTGAAATCCTCAATAGTTGACTCTTTAAGGAAACAGGGTTTGTGCAGTGCATCAGTGTTAAGCTTTCAAAGTGATTTTTAATGCTTGTCTCTTTCTCCTCTCATTTGCCTGCACTGATCTGGGAACCCCCAATTGTCTTCTTATTCTCTTTTGCCATTATTCTTCAAAGGCAATACAAAGAACATAAAGACATGAGAGAGACCACAGAGGCTGGTCGTCAAAAGTAGTACTTCAGGGCTTGGACGTGTAATGCAGATTTTATTCACCTCTGATCACTACAAAATTTGTCTGGAAGTCACATTTCCTGTACTCAACAAAGATTCCTTACAAACTTAGTGACATAGAGCCACAGGGACTGTAAGAAATGATAAAAAAAGACATATAAATACATGTACATGCATATCACAGATAGAGAAAAGAAAATAATAAAATAAGTCTGCTGGTCGGGTAATAAATTCTGTAAAGAGACAAACTGGTATTTACTCAGGATGTAAAAAAAGTAATTGTTTGTTACAACATAACCAAAAGGTATTGTATTATGGGGAAAGAGTGGTGTAGTTTCCAGTAGCCAGTAACACTTTACAGTATGTTTATAGCACAACAGAACTTAAGTTGAACAAGTTAAGTATAAATTGAAGAAAACATAACTTTAAAGCAATACTTTAATTTTCCATCATGTAAACCAAACATCCAGTGGCTGCTCACCACAGATCTTCTTTCCCAAGTCCACAAATCTTTATGTCAAAAGCATCAATAGGCCTTTTTCACAGAAGACATTTTCACATATGTCACAGTGGGTAAAGCACAGGTGTAAACAATAGAAATGATTAGCTGCTTCAGTTTGAGGGTCCTCACTGTCACACTGTCGTGGCTTAGTGGGACAATTGAATAGAACAGAGCCATTGTCAATGTTATTGTTAAACACACTTGTCACACACGCTTTTCCTGCTACAAAATTCCTGCTGTGAAAAATAACAAATGTGAAATATCAGTTTAAAGCTGGCAGGCGAATGCACAAAGTCACAACTATTTCCATGTAAACAATATTTTAACACAAGCACTTGACAGCAAAACATAAACAGCATAGAAAATCTCTCTGTACAAGTAACAGTTGTGTGCTTTTGTTTTTTTCAATGTTGGAAGCTACATTATAGAGGCAAGCACCCATGCAGTAGATTAACTGGCACAGATTTGATGCATAAATGCAGGGTTAAGACATCACGATCCCATTCTGTCATATATACGAATACAAAACATTTATACATATATCTCGGCATTTAATGTTCTATACCGCACATTGTGTGCGTTAGTGTATTTGCATGGGGCACTGAACATCTGCAAACAAATGTATGTTATATGTTCCGCTAATAACCAGCTGTGTGTGCCAAACAACTCCAACATATTTATTATCATGGCATCTTTTCTGTCCTGTCAACCCATTTCATGAAGACATTATAAGGCACTGCTTTATCGTGATGGTCATAAATATGCCAGCCCTCCATGTCTGTCTTCTCCTTGGCCAAATTCTAATCGGTAATGATCGTTTAAGTGGCTCACACCTTCTTTAAGGATATGTGGGTGTATGAAATTAGGGTTGATTAGGAAGCAGTCTCTGATGCAAATGCTGTGTTCTTTTCAGTATTAAAAGAAAAACTCAGAAGCTGGTGAAAATCTGATTTATTTGTCACTTTCACCCTCCACTTTCTCTCTGTAATCAGTGGCTCTGATGATCTTTGTGCAGCTGCATTCTCTCTTTCTCCACCTGGAGGCGTTCTCTCTCAATCTGCAGTCTGCCGCCTCAAATTTGAAGAACTGCAGTCTCTCCTTCTCCAGCTGCAGTCTCTCTTTCTCGAGTTTTAACCTCTCTGTCTCCAGATCCACCACCGACATCCATCCTTTACCTTCCTTCTCTCTCTCCCTCTGTCCATCATGAGTACAGGATAAAGAAGGCGTGGAGGACGAGGGCGGGCCTTGTTGCGGTGGCAGGTTAAAAGAGGAGTCTATGTGCTCTGATTGGCTGAGGAACAAAAGTCTCAGCCTCTCCCTCTCCACCTGCAACCTCTCTCTTTCCAGCTGCAGTCGTTCCCTCTCCACCTCCATCTGATGAAGTCGCTCCTTCTCCACCACCAGCCGCTCTTTCTCCACCGCCAGGCGTTCGGTTTCCACAGCTAGGCGTTGTTTTTCCAGCTCCAGTCGCTGTTTCTCAACAGCGACCAGAAACCCTGCGCCCATGTTTTCATGATTGTTGAGTCCACTCAGAGCATGAGGCGCCATTCCCATCAGGCCGGCAGCCAGCGGCAGGTCTCGGTTGGTGGTGGAGCTCGGAGTCTTGGAAGAGCCGAGCGTGCCCAAGTCACTGTGGCAGTAAACATCGCCAACATGCCCGTCGCCACGTGACTCAATGTCGCTGAGGAGGGAGGGAATATCATCTTCATCTATTTCTCCATCTCCCACATCACCATCACCATCCAGCTGGAGGGAGAGAGTGACATCATAAAAGGGACACTTGCGATTTTACATACAGTATGTAGTTCAGTTTACTCATCATGCAAGTACTGTTACTCAGCTTGTGAGAACAGCTGTGTAATTTCACTCTGGAGAGACTTTTTCAAATGTCTAAATGTCTAATGAAAGATGAAGGAAGATGTGATCAACATGCATTATGGGAAATGTAGGTTTGACCTATACAAAAGACTAAACATCAGAATATGCAGACTTCTCCAGCTTCGATATTGTTTATCTATGATGCACAGAATGTTGTACAGTTTTTATACTGACATTAGATTTATTTTGTGTGTTAGCATATTACCATTTTTGAGTCACTGTAAGGTAGTATTTTGTATCTCAAGGGTTCGTCTCCTAAATGATTTACACCCCAAAGCAATGAGACTCCAACTGATACTTTCATGTGCTATACGTTTACCATGTTGTGGTCTGACACAGAAAACCACCTCTAACACTACTGCAGATTGTCTGGCTGATGATATTGAGACTGGATGCGCTGTAATAACACTGGTAAGAAGTAAAATGGAAGATTTGTTCAAGTAACAATTAGTAATAAAAGGACTTACAGCCAAGGAGGTCAGACATTTTCAAGATAACTGTTAACAGATCTTTGTGCAATCACAAAAAAAGTTACATTTCGATGTCGAGTTTAAACTAAATCCTCATTAATTAATACCTCTTTCATTTAATTCGATCTCCACCTTGTGAACCTACATGAGCCAAATCAAAAGACTGGATTAACAAGAGCCACTTGAGCTACATAATGTGTCACATAATCACAGTGATATATTAAACCTAACTACCTCTGCTGGTGAGGACATTCATTAAGCTAATTAACACATTAGCAAATACTTACATGTCAATACAGACTACTTGTTCCCTCATAACAGGAGTGGCTTTAACACGAGCTCTGTATCAAAAAGCATTAAAGTGTCTGAGAGAATCACTTCGTCCTCACGTCCATGAAAATTTATTCAATAGACTTTGATAGGTTTAATCAGAATATGTAACCTATAAAGGGAATCTGTGGGGTAAGGACAAAGGTTCTGTCTTCTGTTGTTACTGTACACACACAGGCACTACTGGATGATGCGTTTCTGTCTCTTACTCTGTATTCACTGACGTGGTCCTCCATCTTCATGTCTGGCGGTGCCATCAAGGCTTGACCGCTCGGCTCACCGAGAGCCGCCAGCTCCGGCCAGTCGCAGTGACAGTCCTTTGGGAGGCCTGAGAGGTCGAGCAGCTGGTCGCACCCAGACCCCAGAGAAGCTGCCTCATGCTCAGGGGAGGACTGATCGTACTCCGTCTTTGGGGCCAGAGACGAGGGTGAGGAGAAGGAGAGAGAGAACTCGGCCTGAAGCTGTTTCCTCTTCATCAGTGCACGCCAGTCCAGGTAACGTCGCTTCACCTGTAAAAGAGAAGTTCAGGAACCAGCGTTAATTAAGAAATTAAAGAGGGTGAGCTTTTTATTTTTCTGAAGGAACTCCAAGAAATAAAGACTGGAAGATGATAAAAGTGTGATTTCAACACAGAAATAAACACACTTCAGCAGCAGTTCGTAACTCGCCCTCCCCCAGTGAGTTGACACCTCGTGCCACTTCTTCCCATGCCTGTCTCTTCAGCTCATTAACAGCTGTGTTCTGTTAAGACACAAAGAAGAGAAGAAGATCAAGAACAAACAATTACATTGTTTTATTCTGACAAGGAGCTTTATTGGCTGTGGAGTGTGGTGATACATAATTTAAAAATCTGCTAATCATATATCAATCAATAGTTAGATTTTTTTTCATAAATGCAAAATATAAACATTTTTGACAAGTATCCCTTAAATGTAAAGTTTTTTTTTAAGAACTGTGACCAAAGTTTGTGTATGCAAGACATTTTTCAGGTGGAAAATAAACCATCAGTGCTCTCTGGTGGTCAATGGAGATAATGAGACACTGCTTCTAAATGATTTTAAACATATCTTGGCATTTCTGTACTGCAGTTTCATGTAACTTATTGGCCTACATAGATGTTGGTGCCAGTGTATCTATTAATATTGGCCAATATATTGACCTGGGGGATAGATCAGTCTAGTTTTTTACCTGTAGCTGTGACTTGCTTTTTAGATTAGCATGTCAGTAAACTGTGTCAAAACCCCCCTAAACGAATCTGTGCTATTCTGTATATATTATAAATCTGAAAAAAACATGAGTGCAGCTTTTTTGGCGACAATGAGTGAGTACACTCATTGAGACTTACATGAAAAAAACTGGTTTAAAAACTTAATTTGCACATTTAACTTTGAGGTTTCAAAGAGGTACAGAAAGGCAGAAAGTTGCTAATTAGACAGGACAGGAGAATTAGCTAATTGGTCTGTGCCGCTGTTCTTGCTGCTGCTGATGTGCTTAGCTTGGCACACGCTTCAGACGACAGAGATCACAGAGAATGATCAGAGAAAAGCTACACCTGCTGTCTGGAGAACAACACATCCCTCCTCTTGTGGATCTCCCTGATGAGAGTCTGTGTTTCTCTCACGCTGTAGTTGCTCTTCCTTTTCCTCTTCAGATGTTTCACCTGCAGGAAATCCAGCTTGGCAGCAAAGAGGGTAAAGAAAGATAGAGAGAATAACAGAGGGACAAAGAGGTGGAGTTATCAGAAGAGAGAGGGACAACAGAAACAAGGCTACAGAGAGAGGCAGGTCAAAGGTCAGAGTAAAGAGGTGACAGCCCTCAGATGGAGAGAAGTGTGGACATCTGTTGTAAAGGTTAGTCCATATGTAGCAGTATAGCTTCCCATCAAAAACACAACAGTTTTCATTGGGGAGGAATTTTGCTGTGGCTCCAGCAGTCCTTGTGATGTTTCCCACGTGGGAGACTGATCCCAGCTGTTATACTACAGGCTGTGTAACGACATCCGAGACTTGGAGTTCTGAAAATATCCAGTGGAAAGAAGTGTGTGTAGCTGCAGAGGTCACGCCAGGTGTGCTGGAGGAGTAAATCGTCAAAAGCCCTCTTTTTTCCCAGATTCAGTGGAGGGTTCACTCCCTGCCTTGATGAGGCCCTGATGTGATGTAGGTGAGGCCAGAGAGAATTGTTCTAACAAGATTTGCTGGATTCTCCACCTGTATTTTCTGGACTGGATCGCTGCCAGGCTGCCAGGAGTTTACATGGGTAGAGAAGCATCACAGGCTGAAATGGCTCAGCAGTCTTCCTGCAGATAAAACAGAGTAGTTAATGTTGAGAATCAGAACATTAAAAACCTTTGATGTGAAAAAAGGGAGAAATCACAGATGAATGATATCCTCTTCCAGGCCAAACATACATGCAACAGCTGTATGTGACCTAAGAAGCAGCCAAATTACAACATAGAGAAAACAGTCTGCAAATAAATAAATAAATAAAGTGAATAAAGCACATAACATGTAGTTTAAGTATAATACGTTACTGTCACCTTTTTTTTTACATGGAAATGCTGACATGTGGTGCCTTAAGGTTAAGGTTAAGGTGGAAAGGTGGAAACTCATTTTATGGTAGATCACTGGAAAGATGCTCTTTTTATGGGTCGCAGTGTGGGAATTATTTTTGTGATTCATTCATTCATTCATTCATTCAATCATTCATTTTTGAGTCATTAATGATCCCTCATTAACTAAAATATAAAACAATCGTCAATTAACAGTCAATAAACAGAAATGCAGATTTTTTTTTAGGTTGAATGAAAACATGGTGAATTTGCAGATGCTGACTTGTCAGCAAAGAAATTCTGCTGATGTACCAATTTTTTCTGCAGCACTTTAACCAGCAACGTGGCTCTTACCTCTCCTGTTTAGCTACTACAGCCAAACACTCAACAATCTAATACATATATTTTATAAAATATACTAAAAATAGTCAATTTACATAAAAACATACATTTCATGAATATTTTACATGTACGTTCACTGTTAGCCTATATGCACACAAAATACCTATATATGCTATATGTGCTTCTAGGTTATGCCCTCGTGTGTCTCCTAAATATTTCTAATTAAAATAACGATTTTTTTTTTCGAGGGATATAAGGAGATTCTTATTTTTCTAACCAGACGAACACAATACATTTTCATCATCACGATCAGAAAAGTAATGTTCTTTTATGCATTGTCTGTCCTCCTATCACCTCCAGTGAAGCATTATTTGTGATATATCGTGAAAACAACTCACCTTGAGCATACAGATATACCGCAAGCAAAACAACATCGGAGAAATGCAATTTTCATGCTGCTTTCATGGACACCTCGGAAAACTTATAATACGATTTTCAAATTGTGCAGAAGATTCAGATGCTAGTCGGAAAGTCAGTTGAAATAGCCCTGCAATAGAAGAATTTCAGTTTTTGTTTTTGTTGTTGTTTTTATTTACACGCAGCACATCGCTACTTTTGCAGTGGAGAGGGGGTACCCACTTATTCAGAGTTGTACGCGATGTGATATATTTCAGGTAACCTGGGTGACATACGACACTTTTACCGTTTTCACACAACCTCACACATTTCCCTCTCAAGTGTAACATCTCAACCACGCGAACACTGCAGTACAATCAAGGCATTTTTCTCACTACTTCAACGCGACTTGTTTGTATTTAAAATATTCCTGGCAGCATGTGAAGGTGTCGTTAGTTGATCGCTCCTATTGGTCAATCCTCCACCGCGCCCACTTATGACGACATTGACTCTCGCCGGGACTCACTGCTGTCTCAGCCAAACTGTTTGTAACTCGGGTCTGTTTAGAGTAGTTTTATGAACAGCTCTCATGTCACTGCTCACCAGTGAAACCCGGAATGTCTCAGATTGAACATTTCCTGAGTGTTGTTGCCAGTCAAACCCCTACATGCTAACGCGTGATGCTAACGTTAGCTCACTAAGAGTGTGTGAGCAGCCTGAAGTTAAGTCGAGTCCAGATGACAGGGTGGGACAGAGGTGAGGAGATGGGGTCTGTCCGGTGGGCTTTTCGCTGTGGGTCGTGGACACCGAGCAGGTGCGACTGGCTGTTCGCTGCCCGCTGCATTCAGAGAGAAGAGAAAGACAGGATCGGGCAGTTTGTGTTTGCCAAGGATGCGAAATCAGCCATGGTGAGTCTGACTGTAAAACTTTCTGTCAGCTTCCCCTCTCACATCATATCAGGATACCCGTTTGTAACCTTCTGTGTGTATGTTACCCCGTCAGGCTGGCAGGTTGTTGCTCAGGAGGTTTGTCTGTGAGAGGATGGGGGTCCCATGGACAGAGATCAGACTGGAGCGATCTCCCAGAGGGAAACCTTACCTGACAGCACCGCTGATGGTTAGTTGGTCTTCTACAAATACTGCAGTGCAAGATGGGAGACACACTTGGATGTTTAGTACTTTAAATCATATTTGCACACTCTAACACTTTACTTTAAGTCCCCCCCAGTAATAAGCAGTATATTAACATTTAGTTTTAACACACTATGATGTAGTTGTGTAAGCAGATGTAAGTGTTTATTAGTGTGTCCTGTGGGCACCCATAAGAGGAGTCCGTTAATAAATGATAATTTAATAAAACATACTTGTAACAATATAAATTATGTCCTCATTGAAGAAGTTATAATTGTTTAATTTTTTTCCACGAACAAGCAATACCCCATAACCCTAGCCTAAGTGCAACCTCGACACTGGTCATCCTAAGCTCAAGACATAAATAAACACTACAGCCTGAACAGTTTTGTTTGACTTACTTTTCTCTATTTCAGTCTAGAACTTAACATAGAAGCCACCAAGTAGTTCCCTGATACTCATGTTTATTTTCCTATAATTGAGTATATTTATTATTGCAATATCTCCCCTCTCATCGTCTGCACCCAGGACAGTTCAGATTCAGATGCTGCCTGGAGTTTCAACCTCTCTCACCAGGGGGACTATGCTGTACTCGCTGCAGAGCAGGGGGGGCAAGTGGGAGTGGATCTCATGAAAACCACCATGCCAGGTAAATGCTGAGGTTAACTTTTAAAGCAACACTAATAATATCAATTAATATTTGCAGATGTGCTGAGATCTATGTATATATCACTGGGTATTAAATCATAAAAATAGAGCTTTTATAGTTTATAGTTTTCCAATTTTTCAAACTGGATACAGATAATCCTTACAGAAACCAGTATAGTCCATGAGTAAAATGACATCCTCCTTAGAGCTGAATGAACATGCTCACACATAACAGAGCAACCTGAAGTGGCCATACATTGTAAATTTGTTGTGTTTTTTCTTCAGGCAAAAAACAAGCCCCCTCATCCCAGGAGATTAGATGTCACTTGCTGAAATATTATCTGGGAAAAAAGGCAAAGGAAAGAAGTGAGCAGCTATAGTCAAGTAGTGGGCCAGATGAGACTAGCTTTGAGAGTAAGGTCAGCTGTGTGAAGAAAATGGAGAAAACGGAGTAAGAGAAGGCTTTGAGAGGACTGCAGTCTGAACAGTTTTGGCATTAAGCATGGGAAATAGTTTGACTTCGGGACAAAAAAGCACACACACATGTTATTACACACACACAGACACACACACACACACACACACACACACACACACACACACACACAGAAAACAACAAGGATAAGGCAGAGATGGCTTTGTTTGTGTATTTTCCAACTCAACCACAAGGGGTCAGTGTTGTCTTGTGGGTGTGAAAGCTGTAGGCCAAGGCTTCTTGTGTGTGTGTGTGTGCGTGTGTGTGTGTGTGTGTGTGTGGACTACATGCTTGCGAGTCCACAGGAATCACAAAAGCTTTGTGTTTGAAATAATCTTAAGAAACTCTTTTTCATTTGACACCTTCCTCCATCTTCGTCTTTCCTCACATTGCTTTCTGTTCATCTCCCTCCTCTCCTTCCCTTCTGTCTCCATCTTCCTCTCTCTTTCCTTCCTCTTCCCTGTCTTTTCTGCCCTCCCTCCCTCCAGGTAGCAGCTCTGTGCCGGAGTTTTTCCGCATCATGACTCGTCAGTTTACAGCGTACGAGTGGAGCGTCATCCAATCAGCCGGCTCAGAGCACCAGCAGCTTGCCGCGTTCTACCGCCACTGGGTAACCATAGCAATCACACTACCCTGTCGTCACATTGCATTGCTGCTGGGTCCTGCAGGCGGTGTTTTTTTTTTGTATATGTGTGTGTGTGAGAATGAAACATAGGGAGAAAATAACGTTGCCAATATCCTTTGAGATGCACTTTTCTTTATGTCTGTCTTTTCTTCACATTGGGACACATTGTGCATTTCATCCTCACAGACACACACAATCCTTTCTTTCTTTTCCCTTTTTTCCTTTTTAACATTAATCTAATTTTCTTTCCTTCCTACACACACACACACACACACACACACACACACACACACACACACAGATGGACAGCAACAGCAATGGTGGTGCTAAGTAAAGATGTTGTGAGATTGAGAGGGTGGCACAGAGACGTCAAACTCTGATATCATCACCACACTGTTGACTAATGACAGAGCTCGACGGTTGCCATGGCAATTAGCCTTGTAATACTGTTATTGTGGCTCATTGGCTGCCGAGCAGGGTTGGATTTGGCTGGACACACACACACACACACACACACACACACACACACACACAAACAAAGTTCCTCTTTTGTATACACACTCTGTTGTACATGTGTGCATAGATTCCCATCTGTTGTGGTTTAAAATTTTTGTGCTACTGAGCCAAAATACAAGACACACACACACACATAAAGAAGAACACACAGACTGTCCTTCTCAGCTGTCAGACATATAAACATAATTTTTTTCTTTATGTGCCTGTGATGATTTCCTGCATGCCACTGAAATTGTTTGCTCCCTTTCCACCAAGGCCCTGAAGGAGAGCTTCATCAAAGCCATTGGCACAGGTCTGGGCTTCAACCTACAGAGGGTAGAGTTTCACCTGCCTTCTGAACCACTCACACAGGGCCCGGTGCTGCGCCAGACCAAGATGCATCTAGATGAGGAAGAAGAAGAGGACTGGATATTTGAAGTGAGTCTGTTTGATGGCAAGTGCGATGAGTACAAGAGGAAAAAAAAAACTACTATCAACATTCCTTAAAAGCTTGACTTAGTCTTTCTTGTGCGTGTTCTGTCAAATTACAAATTAAAAACAGACTGAAGATGGATGCAATGGTTTAGCCACTACATTTCAAAAAAGCGTGGGCTTGCACACATCCCAAAGTGAAACAGCAACATGTCTGTGTTGGAAGCAGCCTACAATGATTTCGGCTGCTGATCAGTTGCCAGATTTAAAAGGCATTTTGCCAAACTGTTTTATTTTCTGTTTTCCACTAGTGTCATAGCTTGTTTAAGATGCAATGGGCTTAGATATTTCATTTGGATTCTGTGTTCACTGCTCATTAGTGTCCAGAATGGGTTCTTTTCTCAACTTTTAAGCCTACATGGACGAGAAGTCCTTTAAGTGCTTAGACGAATGGAAATCTGAACATCTAGTTTTTTGAGGCAACTCCATCTCTATTGTAAAATCATGTGATACATTCAAAAACTCTAATACAGTTATTGACTGGTGATTGTTTATTTTTTTATTTTATTAGGGAGATTCGTGTCATTTTTAGAAGAGTAGCATGTATTGCAGCAGTTGGAGGAAGCCTTTAGGAAACCAAAGAGCTTAAAAGCAGTGGTGCTGGAGGGTGCTGGAGGGTGCTGTGGGGTCCTCAGTGCTCCGCCTCCCAGTGGCTGCCCCCTGGGAGGTATTTGCAAAGTGAGTCACAGGTGGTCCTGTAGAGAAACGCAGACAAGGTGGATAGGGGGGCTCTCAAGTGGCCCTCCAGCCCTCCATGACAAGAGATCAGAGGAGTGCAGCTTTCTGTCAGAGCAGAAGAATCATCATTCCTCTCCCCTTCTATTTCCCATTTCATCTCCTCTTTTTCCGTTCTTGTCTTCTCTCATCACCTTCATTCCCCCTCCTCTCCACTTTCCCTTTGATGACCTCTGCAATATGTCCTTCTCTTATATATCTCAGGAACGCCTTGAGCGAATGTCTTAAAATTGACCACAAACGTTCACTTGGACTCATGGATGGGCTGATTAGATTTTGGTGGTCAAATATCAAAGGTCACAAACACTCACAGCTCTCCAACAGCTCACAAAACACATTTTTGGCCATAATTCAAGATTTCATACACTAATTATGACAAAATTTCACACAAAGGTCTAACAGGAGTGATGACATTTTATATCCAAAAGGTCAAAGGTCACCTTTCACTGTGACATCATAATCTTTTCTGGCCATTATTCAACACTGTAACTCAAGGGCAGAAGAGTAGATTGTGACCATATTTCCTGTAACTTGACTGGTGGGTGGAGGCATATAACCGTGAGATGGTAATTGTAGTTCCTCTCTATTCCTCCTCCTCTCCACCCCTCACTCCTGTCCTCCATGCCCAGTGGCAGAGGGATTAGGAAGTGACTGCTAAAAGGTTACCACTGGTTTGAGAAGGTTTCCTCTCCTCTTCTCTCCTCTCCTCTCTTTTCCTCTCCTCTCCTCTCCTCTCGTCTCCTCTCCTCTCCTCTGTCGAGGTCATGGTGGTCTAATGCTGTTTTTGTGTCTGTGTTTTCACACTAGGGAATAACAGCTCACTTGTATCGATCGCAGGTAGCTGGTAATGCATGTGTCCTGTTTTTAACTATAGAACTATAGACTGTAGGGCAAAAGTGAATTAACAGCAACATACTGTACAGTATGTAGGATTTGTAAAGGGTACAAAGGATGAAGAGATGCAGGTTGTTGCAAGAATAAATGAAGCAAAGAGGAAAAGTAGTTATTATTATTATTTTAATAATTTATTTTATAAAACTGAAAAAGTCCCCCTACACTTTTGTATGTATTTAGTGTTATAATTCAGATGTAGGAACAAGCTTCACAACAGTTCCATGTTTAGAAGAGCCACAAAGATTCGGTTGACTGTTAAATAAAACAGATTGACAAAATGCACATATGACCAGCTTAGAAAGTGACCAAAAGAAAAATAAGGGCAAAATTACCAAATAGAGGTAGAACAGCCATGGAATACCCTCCCACTGTCCACAGTTTAACAAAGTGTGCAAGTCTGCTTAAAAGATTGACATTAATGCCTCCAGAATATGCCAACTGTAGTCAGCAATGATTTAACCAGACAAATACACAAGTGAGTTTAGTGGTAACACTGAATACTATACAAAAACATGGAGGCTATAATAAATTATAACATCACAAACCAGGAGGTCACGCACTTGAATAAAATAAAATGTCATATTTTAGTAAAGTGTAATGACACAAAAACATGCACACCTGACTACACTCGGTGTAACAGCTCTTCTCTCTGTATTTCCTCAACAACAGCAACACATCATTATTTGTGATCAGCGACTGATTGCAGTCACCTAAAGAGGTCAAATGAACTCAAAGCGAATCGATTTCTCGGATTGGTCTCAAAAACAAATAGACGCACTCAGAGCTGTGTTACCAGAGAGATGAGCAGCAGTGCTGTTGACCTCACATCCTCTTCCGCACTGTGTGCTGATTGGCTGGATCAGAGTGCAGCTATAAGACTTATTACTTCCTGCTGACCTCTGGTGGTGTCACCCCTGCAGGCTTTTAGAGACAGATGCTGAGGGAAGTTATAAACAGAACACTCATACATTCAAAACAGACTGTAAAGACACCAGTGCTCTCCTCTTTATTATCAGCAAAGTGACAAAAAAGATGAAAAAATTTGAATACAGTTCTAGGTGGTGATGTCTCTCCCTGCCATACTCTCTGCCATTTTGTAACTAACTCCCCACTACACACACACACATACATACCATGACCACCTGTTACTGACCAAGTGTATTTTGCCAATATCAAAGGCAAAATACACAATTTTAATAAAAGAAAAAAACAATCACACCATTGGTATATGCAGTACATGTTACAGAGTGGACACAATCCCAAACCAATGGGTGTGGGCATGCTGAGAAATGTATGTGTTCTTTAAAATGTGAATATAAGATGCAAATGCAACCATAGCATGTTTTATGTTAAAGGAAGGAGGCCAACAATGGGGAAGCATCTGCATCGATTCACTTCACACTTCATACATTTCACAAAACTGGATATGAATCTGCTTTTGCCACATGTATTAATCATATGTACTGTAGAATGGATTTATTTCTACAACCTCTATGGTGACATTTTCAGTGAATACATATGCAGCTGATGTTTCTTGGTATCACAGGCACCGTTTCGTCTGGAGAGCAATGTGTTACATGTAAATGCAGGGGTTATCCGACTGCACCTTCACTCTTCTTCACGTCTTCTTAGAAATCATGCAGACAGATACTACATGTAGATATTCACATGCATATATTCAATGTATTCAAGAGATTATGCATGAGTGGACGCATGCTAGGTTAATGTTTGAATGAACGTCTGATAAGGATGTAGGAGTATGCAGTTTTTGTCATCGTGTGTATTTGCGCTGAATTTGAATGAGCTTAAAGGTGATTTTTTTTATTTAGTATGATATGCCAGCTATACACCGTATTTGCATGTGCTGATGTCTGTGTGTGTGTGTGTGTGTGTGTGTGTGTGTATGTGATTGTGCAGGAGAGCTTGCTGGATGATGACCATCATGTTGCTGTGGCACTCGGACCAGCGGACAAAGCAGATTCTGCAGTAAGGATACATAACATTTATAAGTTTTAACATTTGACAGTTGCTTGTATTCAGAATAACTTTGTGAGGAGTATAGGCTAAAGGTTTAATGGTTAAAATTAATCATTAATAGCAATACTATTAGACATTATAGTCTCTTTCTATAATTAAACCCTCTCTTCTTCTATCCCCCCATCAGCCTCATCCGTCATCTCTTCCTCCTCCCACCACATTTACCCTGCTGTCATTCAGCGACCTCATCGCCTCAGCCTTACCTCTGACAGAGGAAGACCCCGCCTACTGGGATAGCTTCAAGATGAAGGCTGAAGCTCCACAGAGACAGAGAGAGACACACCCATCCAAATAACCACCTGTCTCACACTGACACATACCTGCTGTACATACAGACACGTGCACCTTTCAGAAGTGCCAAAGAAGAAACACATGTAGACTGACACTGATGCTGCTTTCTCATTCAACTCAAGTCCACTCCAGTCCTTTCAAATTTATTTATAAAACCAAAAATCACAGGTTTGTGTGAGAGGACTTCAGAATCTATACAGCATCTGACACCCGCTATCTTTAGATCCTCAGTTCAGATAATGCAAAACCTTTACACATTTCATACACACACACAAAAGAATTTCATTAACTTCTTCTTGCCATGTGTTGAGTTTGTGTTTACAGTATGATGAAACTGTCTTTTACAAATAAAACACATGTAGATTATGTAATTTTATGTAATAACTGATCCTTGTACACCCCAACAGCTCTTGAATTGTTCATTGGTTGAAAAACATCTGTAATACAAAGTATGTGTATATAATGTACAATCTTATTTCACATATAAATAGAAGGTGAAAAATTACTTGTAGTCAAATTTCTATGTGGTCATAGATGCAAGGTTTCAATAAAAAGTGTAAAAATAGGAACATCGGACAGAGTTTCTTCTTTTCTTGCAATTATTGAGTTCAGATAAAACATCTGATAACTGCTGCACACTTGGTTGTAAATTTTTTATCTTTTCACTTCTGCTGTCATTCTCCTCTGTGTCCTTTCATTCTTCCTCTCTTACAGGTGCATGTGCATATAGCTGGAAAAATAATTCGATATTATTTATCAGTGTTCAGTGGTATTTCAGATCATGATCACATTGTGTTATCCTACAAAATTCTGCCGTTGATTGATATCATTGATATATTGATTTCAAGCAAAAAAATATTGCTTATAAAAAATTTTTAATGAAAGCTTTTGTTTTACACATTTGAAGTTATTTTATAATGTGAAGCACAACAGTGGAGCACATTTCATTTTAACTTCAATTTCATTATTTTACATTTGATGTTAATTTGCCTTATCATGACCTATATTGATATCCAAAATATTTTTTTTGTAATATTCATATATAGATTTTAGCCATAATGTGCAACCCCATATGTGCATGTATGTGATGTGAATGTGAGTGAGTGTGAGAGAGAGATGCTTGTGTCTGCTTCTGTCTTTCTCTTCTATAGCTAAATGTCTTTCACCCTCGCTTCTGTTTTTAACCTCAGTCTTATCTCGCATTCATTTTCTCCCTTCTTGCTTCCTCTGTGTTATCACTGTCATTTTGTATCTTTCTTTCCTTTTCTCCATCTCTATCTCGTCTCTCCATCTGGTAGTGTATCTATTTTAGTCGAGGACATTTAGTTGACCATCACGTTCTCGCCCTCTCTCTCTCCCTCTCTTTTTCTTTGCAGTTCATTTCTCCTCCATCTTCTCTCTCTCTTTCTCTCTTTCTCTGGAGGTCTGCTCGTAGATGCACTGCCAGTCTACAGGTTCCTTTCTGCATCACATTAATTTAATCACAACCTATAATCATAAGCCTTCTCATCTGCACACATACAGTGTAATGACTGGCTATCCTAGGAAGTTAGAGGTCAAATAATATGCATGCGCCATGTCTGTGACATTACACACTCCCGCTTCCCTCCCTCTTACGTGAACGGATACATAAACACATGAAGTGAAGCCAAGATCATTAAGTTATCCCACTGCCAAAACAATTGTGAATTTATAATTACATATGAATTAAAGTCAGACGATCAATTCTAATCCAAAACAGCTGGAGAAGGAAATTATTGATTGCTATATTTCTCATTACATTTCTGTTATCCACTCTTTTTCCTACCTTCACCACCATGCCTTATTATTTTCACAGCACTGATGTACTTTTGTAACCCTTGAATTTCAGGAAAAAAGAGGGGAATTAGGGGTATTGATGAAATGACAACCTGCTGTCCAGATGGCTTCCATGGAGGTCCTTTGTATGTGAGAGACACAACTAAGTATAGACAGTATGTCAGAGATTGAGTGCAGTCAGTCAAGTGTGTGTGGGTGAACATGTGCATGTGTTACTGTGAATGAAAGAAAAACAGCTTGAAAACACACACACGCATGCACGCACACACGCATACACACACACACACACACACACACACACACACACACACACACACACACGCAAGCATTGCCGCCAGCTGGAGTGAATTACTTTGCCTCCTCACCGTCTTAAATCTTGCGTTCTGTACAGCAGTGAAGGAGGCGAGTCGAGGCAGCGGGGTCAGACTGGAGTCACACAGGCTTTCCTCAGAGAGAGGCCATTTTTAGTTGCTTCAAGTTTACTGCTGTGTTTGTTTTTTTTTTCACATGTGGGATGGAGAAAAGAATGCTTTGGGCATCAGACAGAGTTTAGCCCAAGGTGAGAGATGAGACCCAGCTCAGCCTACTGTTGAGGATAACAGCAAAGTTTCTTCTTCTGGAAGAGGAGAACATTTTGCACCACCTTTAGACTTTCACTAGCACATTTTAAAAATAAGATTCAGTTTAAAATCCGTTTTTAAGTTAAAAACCTTAAAAACAACTGCAGCTTTATGTTTTTAAGCTCCTTCTTTTCAACCATTGTGATAAAGAGTGATACCACTTAAATGAGCTACTGTTTCAGCCCTAAATTATATTAAATTAAATTAAAAAGAGAAACTATGTAAGAAAGACTGCTAAAGTGAAAAATGACCCTAGCAATCTGCTCTTTGACGTTTTAGCAATGTGAGGAAAACGCTGCCCAGATCAAACTCTGCACTGGATCAGCACAAGAACCAGCAAGTCTATATGACACAACTGTTTTACTCGGCAGAGTGAGCGTGCAGATTTATAACTATACTGTGACGTTTTATGCCTTTTTGTGCCTTACTATACAATGACGTTTTTACACTTTACTATAATATGACATTTGACAACATTTTATGTCTTACTATACTATAAGATTTTGTGACATTTTTATGCCTTAATTTACTATGACATTTTTTTGACGTTTTTATGCCTTACTACACCACGACTTTTTATGCCTTACTGTACTATGATGTTTTTTATGACTTATTGACTTTATGCCTTTATGCCACTTCCTCCCACAGTCTAAAGAAATGCACATTAGGTTAATTGCTGATTCTAATTCCTTACTATTCAATACATTTTTAAACCAAGGATGGTTTTTGCGTTTTTATGCCTTACAATGCTGTGACTTTTTTTTATTGTTATGTCTAACTATACTATGAATTTCTTTGAAATTATTATGCCTTACTATACTATGACGTTTTGTGACATTTTTATGCCTTACTATATACTATGACGTCTTTTGCCATAGTATACTACAACATTTTTGGACAATTTTATAGATGAGTATACTACGAAGTTTTTGCCGTTTTTATGCATTACTATACTAGGACGTTTTTTGACATTTTTTGCCTTTATCTACTATGACGTGTTTATGCCATACTATACTATGAATGTTTTTTTTCCGTTTCTATGCCTTACCATACTATAACGTTTTTTGACACTTTTTGACTTTCTATACTATGACGTTTATGTGCCTTACTATACTTAAACTTTTTTTTACATTACTATACTATAACGTTTTTATGCCTTACTATACTATGACATTTTTTGTCGTTTTAATGCCTTGCTATACTATAATGTTTTTTGACATTTCTATGCCTTACTATACTATGACGTTTTTATACCTTACTATACTAAAAATTTTTTTACATTTTTTGCCTTCCTATACTATGACGTTTTTTGACACTTCTTGCCTTACTATGCTATGACATTTTTATGACTTACTATACTATGACGTTTTTTGGCGTTTTAATACCTTAATATACTATGACATTTTTTGACATTTTTTGCCCTACTATGCTATGATGTTTTTATGCCTTACTATACAATATTTTTTGACGTTTTAATGCCTTACTATACAATATTTTTTGACATTTTTTGCCTTACTATAGTATGACATTTTTTGGCGTTTTAATAGCTTACTATACTATGATGTTTTTTGATATTTTGATGCCTTACTATACTATTACGTTTTGTGACACTTTTTGCATCACTATACTAGAGGTTTTTTGAAATTTTTTGCCTGACTATAATGTGACTTTTTTGGCACTTTTTGCCTTATTATACTATGACGTTTACACGCCTTATTATACGATGATGTTTTTTTGACATTTTATGCCTTCCAATACAATTTCATTTATGCCATACTATACTATGACGTTTTTTGACATTTTTATGCCATACTATACAATGACGTCTTATGTCATTTTTATGCCTTCCAATACAATTTCATTTGATTCCTTACCATAATATGACGTTTTTATGACCTTTTATGCCTTCATATAGGATGATGTTTTTTCGACATTTTATGCCATGTATACTATGATGTTGTTTTTTTTTACTTTTTTGCCATACTACACTATGACATTTTTTGACATATTTATGCCATACTATACAATGAGGTTTTTTGTCATTTTTATGCCTTCCAATACAATTTCATTTGATTCCTTACCATACTATGACGTTTTAATGACCATTTCTGCCTTAGTATACGATTATGTTTTTTTGACATTTTATGCCATACTATACTATGACGTTTTTTGGCATTTTTATGCCATACTATACTATGACGTTTTTTGACATTTTTATGCCATGCTATACTATGACATTTTTTGGCATTTTTATGCCATACTATACTATGACGTTTTTTGTCATTTTTATGCCTTCCAACACAATTTCATTTGATTCCTTACCATACTGTGATGTTTTTATGACCATTAATGCCTTAATATACGATTATGTTTTTTCTACGTTTTATGCCATACTATACTATGACGTTTTTTTTACATTTTAAGCCAGACTATACTAAGACGTTTTTTTTCATTTTTATGTCTTCCAATACAATTTCATTTGATTCCTCACCATACTGCGATGTTTTTATGACCATTTATGCCTTAATATACGATAATGTTTTTTTGACATTTTATGCCATACTATACTATGACGTTTTTTGACATTTTTATGCCATAGTATACTAGGACGTTTTTTGAGATTTTTATGAATTCCAATACAATTTCATTTCATTCCTTAACATACTGTGATGTTTTTATGACCATTTATGCTTTAATATACGATAATGTTTTTTTGACATTTTATGCCATACTATACTATGACGTTTTCTGACATTTTTATGCCTTCCAATACAATTTCATTTGATTCCTTACAATACTATGACATTTTTATGACCTTTCATGCCTTAATATACGATTATGTTTTTTTGACATTTTATGCCATACTATACTATGACGTTTTTTGACATTTTTATGCCATACTATACAATGACGTTTTTTGTCATTTTTATGCCTTCCAATACAATTTATTACTGATATCCTTAACCATTATGTTGACGTTTTTATGCCTTTTATACGTTATACATTCCTCAAATCGTGACTATGTTAGACTCCCTTTTTCTCAGTGAGCTAATGTATTAGCCACTCAGTCTCAACCCTACCAACCTCATTATATCGATCTTTTGACATTTCTAATATATGGCTCC